AGGCACTTTTGATAGGGCCAGACCCCCCTAAAAGGGTTATCGTGTACCTGGCAGCTCAGCCCAGAGACTTCAGAGCCCTTTCAGCAGAGCCTGGCCACGTCAGGCGATGCCGCAGCCTTGTCTTTTCTTGGCTCCTTCCCCAGTCGTCCAACTTCCCCAGTCATCCAAAAAAAAAAAAACAACCCCCAACATAATAAACTGAATACACATGGTTGCCATGGGAACGGGAATTGGCTGCTTATCCTGATTTTTGTGGCAAACTCCAGGAGAGTTGTTTTGTTTGGTTTCGGTTTTTTTTTTTTTCCTTTAATAACACACACGAGGTGTCCCAGGTTGTGAAAACCGGTTGACTCGGTGTGCTTTGAACCGGCCCGCAGGATGCTTGCCTCTAAACATCCTGTCTGAGGGCCACCTCCCCGTGGTGGCTTCTCCCTTTTTATCTGCCTCTGCCGAGTAATAACTGCTCCTCGCTGTCACATCTGGAGAGGGAGAAGGACAGGAGGGAGTCGCAGGTAAACTCTTCTACCCATAGGGAGAAATAGGTTGGTGAGCAGCTGTGCCGTGGGATGGACGTGGCTGCTCGAGCTTGGGATGTGGGGAGAGTCCATCTCTGCAAGGCAAAGGTTTAGCGTGATGACGGTCACCGATGAGGCTGATGGAGGTGGTCTGCCGGCAATCTGTGGCTTTAGCCCCTTTTCTGGGGAGGGTTATCGTGGTTTTGGAGCTGCTCGTGGCAGAGGATTGGGAGGAGAGGGAGTTTGTGCCTATTCTGTTGGGTGAAGGCTGTTGGCACAAGAGAGATACACCTGGGTAGCAAGGATGGAGGAAGATCCGCAAAGAGAAGACCCTCCAAAGGTCCGTGGCCAAGCTGGCTGCCCTAGGAGGCTGCCTGCCAGGCCGATGGTTGCACCCATGGGTGCTTGTAGGGGATACTCATGCATCTCCATGGACAGCATCCTCCCGGCAGCATCGATTTCTCCGCATCGGCTGGAGCAAATCCCCACGTGGAGCCGAAATGATAGACAGCGATGGACCCGGAGCTGTGACGGCTCCGGGGGGAGAGCCTGGAAATTGGGTAGAAATGCCATCCTTCCTGAGCCGAGCCTAGGGAGGCTGTGAGCAGTCAGTGCAAGGCACCGTAAGGAGAGGAGGCAGCTCCCGTATGGCTATTAAGGAAAAGCATCGCAGCCTGGAAGCTGCGGAGGGAGAAGGGCAGCTCAGGTAATAACTGCTGACTGCAGCCGTATTTCAAGTCCTCTGACAGACAAACTAGCTCGCAGGAAAAATAAATAACCCGGGTGTCTTTCCTCAACCGATGCTTTCTTCCCTGGCTGCGGCTCACGTGGAGCTTAATCAGCTTTGATGGGAGCGTGGACTCAAACCGGGGGGAAGCCGGTGGGTGAGAGGTATCGGGTTTGGGCTCGATGGGCTCGGTCGAGGGGCTGTGTGGATGTGGGGGGGTTGTTTTTCTGCACCTCAAATACGTGGACAGTTGCTTGGAAACACATGTGATTTCTCTGCAGAATAGTGGCTGTTTTATAAAAGGAGGTTGGTGGGTGTTTTTTTTCTTTTTGAGTGGGCTACAAGAAAGCTTCTGCTTGATCAAAGGGTGGATTTGGGACATCTCTGCTAAGCGAGAGATGCCCTAGGATACGTGATGGCTGCTGAAGCACTGTGTCCGGGCGGTGGGAAGCAAAGGGGACTGGTGACAACTACCAAAAGCCTTGCTGGGTTGGGCTGCTGAGAGGTTGCAAAGCAAAAGGGTCCCTGGCACTGTAAAGAGTGAGGTTGCTGTGCTGGGGAGAGGGATGGTGAAGGTAGAAGATCCCCGGGACAGCTCTGCAACAGAGTGGTTTGGGTCTGCTGGTGACCAAGGCGAAGGGGAGATGCTCGGTGGATGCGGGGTGATAAATCCCTGGGTTAAAGCTGGGTGCCGGTGTGGCTCGGAGCAGCTTCTGGAGCTGCAGGTGGGACATGTCAGTTGTCATTTCTGACGCCCGGGCACTGGGATGTCTCTGCTTTCCTCCAATTAAACATGTCAAATTAACGTTCCTGCTGTGTATCTTGATCAGGGTACGCTCCTGACTTCAGCTTCAGGCTGTTGCCCTTGTAGTCGCGGTCCCTGTAGGACAACGGTAAAATTTGGTTATAATTCGTGTGATCGTTCGCCGCTTAAATGCGCTTTAATAGCGTTCGTTCATCATTGCTTCAGCGTGTAGATGTCTGATCGGGGAAGATATGTGCCCTGGGTGTCCAGGCTATAATCAGGGAAGACGTGGGTCCTACTGGGGCACGAGCAACCTCACCCTAACGTAGGCAGCCAAAACAGAGCAGAAAACCATCACCGATCCCCAAAACAGCTCCCGGGATGGGGCGTTTCTCATCTGCCTGAAAGACCGGTTAGTAACTTCCCTCCTGAAAGGAAACCTTAACATGGTGTAAACAGCTTTTGAGCCTTTCCCAGATGACCTGCGTCCCGGAGATGCGATGGATGACGATAGTCTCTACATCCAAACGCCGCGCTTGCCCACGCAGGGCTGAGCCTGTTCGACCGACTCCGGTTTTGCAGCCAAAACCCGACCGGGGACATCTTGCAGAGCTCTCCCTTACCTAAGGCACTTGCCACGCCACATCCTACCCTTATTTTGCAGTACCTAATTACTTTCTAGCGTGGGAGGACTCGGAGAACGTGCTGGAGTTGTTCATCCAGCCTCTGCGATTTGCTTTGGTATTTATAAACACGGCGAGGATGTGATTTGTGATGCAAGGGCAAGTCGGTGTGGTAGCTTCAGGATGAGTAATGTCGCCTTGGGTGCGCATCCCAGCTGTAGAAAAGGACCGGAAAGCCCGTGCGGAGGGCAAGAGTGAGACCTCCTTAGGTGGTAGATGCATAAGGAGAGAGGTCTTGCTGGAGCAAACAAGACCATCCCAAGGTAATATCAAAAACTGACTGCTATAAGCATTTAGATTGTTACTTATTCCCTTCCGTGCTTGCTGCTCTGGGATTTTTTTTTTTTTCCAGCAGTTTGAGTACGGGCTTAAATATTTTGCGGGATATAACTTTGCATGTGGCAGTCGGTCGCGCTGCCGTACCTTTGCTCCTCTCCATCCTTGCTGGTACTCGGTAGCGTTGGTCTGGCTTAGCGTGAAGGTGATTTTCATGCCTTTAATCTTTGCGCTCTTCCTACCGGAGATGAAATCTCTTTCCCGTGCGTCAAATCACCGCTCGTGTGCGACGCAAAGGTTGCGTGGAATATGCATGAGGCTTCTTTTGGAAATGGTGACGGTTCCTGGGTTGCTTCCTCCTCCTGCCGTGCAGCCGGGAGGGCCCAGGAAAGCCTTGGCTGGCTGGATTCACGCCCTGGTAACGATCTAGTTTGGAGGGAGTTTATGTTCCGAGGAAATAATTGTCACATTGCTTTTTATTAGCCAAAACTATGTTAGGTTTCCTCTTGTAATAGCACGTAGCTGTTATGCTTTCTTGGGCGCTAATGTATTTTTGTCTGGCATGATGAAGTTGTGATGATTGTATGCATGCAACCACATATATATATTTTCTTTTTATATCTCTATATAAGTACACACGTATATACATCCATACAGTGGTGCACGGTGGCAGCTTCTCTGCGGTGATGTCCCATCTCTGTCTGCAGCTGACGGCAGAGCCTTGCACACCCGTTCTGTCGGGATGCGGATCTCTGGGGACGCTGAGCAGCCCGATCTCCCTTTTGGGGATACTTTGGGTCAGACCCCAGGCACTGTTTGTCCTTCCAGGTCCAGCAAGCAAGCCCGATGCCAACGAGTTTCCTCGGCAGTGCCCTCCGGGGCACCTTCTTCTTCATTTTTGGTCTCTGGTGGTCCGTGCGATACCCCCTGAAGTATCTCGGGCGGAAAGCCCGTGCTGAGAGCCAGCCGAGCTATGGGGTCCAGCGCATGGAAATCTTCGAAGGGGCGGTCAAAGGTTTCTTTGCTCTAGCAGGTAAGAGGCAACGATGAGTCTCTGCCCCAATATCTACTGGTACTGCAGCCGCTCTCTCCCACGAGACTGAGCCTGTTTGTAGTGGGGAACTGCTGTGGGAGGGCTTGAGGACGTGCTTGTGGCACGCTCTGTGACGGGACCTTGCTACCGTTCCCCTGGGCAAATACCACGATGACTTCGTCATCGCAAGGAAAGGTTTCCTGAAAGCTTGTCCTTTCCCCCGTGTAAAAAGAAAAGCATGACCTTTCTGCTCTCTGCCCAGGGATATTGGTCGAGCAGTTTATTCCCGCTGGTCCCCACCTGCAGCTGTACAGCCCCAAGACGCACAGCTGGACGGACCTCACCCGCTGGCACTACACCACCATCTACCTCTTCTTCCTCCTCTCCGGCATCGCGGACGTCGTCTCGCACTCCCCGCTCAAGCTGCCCCTTGGTTTAGATCGACTCTCGCTATCTGTGGCTCTGTTCATCGAAGGTGAATCACACAAAGCCCCTGGGAAGAGTATGAAGGATGGGTTAGGGGAGGGAAGGGGCAACCGCTCCAAATCCCTGGGCTATTTTGAAGCTACCAAGGCTGTGTGCAGGCAGCCGGAGCTGGAGGGTGTGCAGATGCGTGATGGCACTGGCTGCGTGCTCAGGTCACCCGCTCCCTGTTCTTCTCCAAATACGAATCCGGCCGTGGCTGGATGCTCCGGGTGCACGGAGGATGCAGGAGGACCTCGGGGTGTTTGCTTCTCCTGGTGAGAAGCAGCTGGCTCTCTCTGGACTTGCAAAAAGGTGTTGTCTTCCCACTTTGGTTGGATGCACAGAGGGACAAGACCCTGATGCAAAGCTCCCCACCATCTTCTGAGCTGAAGGTCCCCATCATGCGCTGCTCCTGACGGCCCTACGGCCCTGGCTGGGCAGAGCAGACCCCGGCGCTGGGGGCTGTGCGGTCCTTGTAGGGTGAAGGTGATGACAGTAGGCTGTTTGCTGTCTGTCTCTTCCCACCAGGCAGATCATAGCAAGACCTGCAGCACAGTCTCAGCTTTTAGATGTTGTTGTTTGGTTTTTGGTTTTTGTTTGTTTAATAAAGTCCCAGAGCATCTTTTTCTAATGCAGTGTGAATCTTCTGCAGGTTTGCTCTTCTGTTTCTATGACTACAGCGATGCTGCGCTGGACCACCACCTCCATTCCCTGCTGGCCTTGGCTATCTTTGCTGGAGCCCTCTGTGCCCTCCTAGAGGTGTTCCTCCGAGACCATATCATCCTGGAGACCTTCAGGACCAGCTCCTTCCTTCTCCAGGGCTCTTGGCTTTGGCAGGTCAGTGCGTATCCAGCGCTTTCCCCTGAGCAAGGGGCTTCGCACCCAGGAAGACAAGTGGAGGGGGGCTGCTCTGCCCTTTACAGCACATCTGTTGGGGTTAAACTTGAAGGCTGGTTGGAATATCTCAGTAAATAAGAGGAGGAAAGGAGGCTTAGTGCCTCGTGGTGTCATCGTGGAGATATGCACGTGTAACATATGCAGCATGGACAAATCTGCACGCTGAATGGAAATTAGACCCCACAAGGGTGGGAAACCACAGTCATGAGTTTGTGGTCTTTTTATTAAGGCTGATTTCTTCCTCTAACTGGAAATATCTGGAAATCTCCCACGTAATCGCCCAGCTTTGGGTCTAGGGTGAAACGCACGGCCCGGCAACGTAGCCTTTGGGTTGTCGTCTTGCTCTAGGGATGCTGGGCTGCGCCACGAGCCCTAAGGCTTGTCTGCGGAGCATCCCTCTCCTCCTGAAATGCACCCCCGTGTCGGTCTGGGGAGACGAAGGTGCTTGGGGGTGCTGAGGGCAGCGGTCCAGGAGTTATTTGGGATTATTGTGCCTCTAGTCCATAGGCAGCTGCAGCAGCTTGGCTAAAATCGGGAGGAAAAGAGAGGAGGGATGTGCTAAAGCCTGATTTGTGCTGATGCCTAATATCTCTTCCATCTGCGACCAGATTGGGTTTGTGCTGTCCCCTCCGTGGGGAGGACCGGGCTGGGATCAGACCGACCGCAGCAACTTCACGTTCCTCTCCGTGTGCTTCTGCTGGCATTATGCGTGCGCTCTCGCCGTCCTGGCAGCAAACTCCGCTGCGTCTCGCTGGTACGTGGGGGAAAAAAGGGTCCCTGGGGGGGATCCCCGCACCGTGCACGAGCCGGGATGACCAAGAGCAATACCTAGACCCGATGCTACTCTGGGAAATCCAGCTGCCAGTGTATCGTGGGATAAGAAAAGTGGACGTCTGTGCACGTCCAAGCACGGACCGGTCAGTGGCTTGGCTGGAAAGGATGGGCTCGCTGCCACCGCAGAGCAAGACGGTCCTTAGCGGCCTTCCCGAGCGGGCTGGGGTGAGCCGATGGCTCTCCCTGCCTGCAAATACCTGACCAGTGTCACTGTCTCTCCTGCAGCTGCAATGAGTCCTGCCAGCTGAAATTTGGGGACATCGACGTGGAGCTGGACTGCGGCATGTGCATCCGCAAAGGCAACAAGAGCTCCAGCGGTGCCTTGCTGCCGGAGAGCGGCTCGGATGACAAATGAGGCCGCGGCGGGCAAGGAAACTTCATCCTGGCTGGCTTTTAGAGCTCTTGAGTTGAGGTTTTTAATTAGTCTTGATAAACTAACAGCGGCACTTGACGGCGGAGCATCGGAAGTGGAAGGCAGGACCCCGAAGGCGGAGCGCGGCAGGAGACGCAAAGCCTTTCCCGAGCATCACCCGAGCATCCCTTTGGCAGTAGCGGGAGCAAACCAGGCTCGTCTGGGCGGGAATTCTTGATTTTCTGTGCTGCAGCTCGGGCTGCCAACTGCAGGACTGGTTTGCTGGTGGAGTCCAACCAGTGTGGCCGATTTGGCTATTTTTTTAACATTGTTTTCGCTTCTACTTCTGCAGAAGGGAGCCAAACCAGCCTTCAAAGCTCCTGGTGGCTGTCGCTCACCCTGGTGTTAATGGAGAAGGGGGTTTTTGTACAAAACTAAACATGCACAGAGTATACGTGATCGCCAATAAAGCACTTAAACCGCCTCGATGGATCTTTTGAATACGATGCCTTGAGACTGAAGGTTAAGGAAATTTGTCTGGCCTCAAAACGGTTTGGGAGGGTAGATGAAATATCAGAGGGATGGGGCTGCGTGTGACTGAAGGTGGCCAAATCTGCCTGGAGAAAGGGCTGGGTGGCCAGCGGATGGGAAGGATGGAGGTTGCCCTGTTAGCACTGGCACATAGCTGCTCTCCTGCTTCTTTTTAATCAGAAGCTGAAAGGATGAGTCAGATAGGTGAGGCAGCTTGTTTGTGACGGGGTTTGGCGTGCCTGGGAGATGGGGCGTTTGCTGGACAGGGTTCGGCTTGGAGAGAGGGAGACCCTTGGAGCAAGATGATGGCTTCGGCCGGTCCGGGTTGGGCGTACGGATGCTCCTGGTAAGTCTCTGAGAGCCGGGCTGTGTAGCGATCTCGGCACGAGTATGGCTTTTCTCTGACGGCTTTATTCTCTCCCTGGAGCTGGTTGCTTCCAAACAAAACCTTTCAATTCTGGGTGTCCGCTTTGCGCTTGGTATCTAAGGGTACGTGTGTTGTTTTTTTTTTTTCCCCTTGGGTCCTTCATTTGGTTTGCAGCAGAACATCATGGGGAGATGCTTCCTGCCATCGAGATCAAACCCGAAATCAAAAGATGTCATTAAGCAGGATTAGCGAAAGAACAGAAAGCTCGTGACCAACATCTAAAACGCCCGTGCCGTGTCCCTCACTGAGGCCTGGGCTAGACGAACAGGTAAGCGCAAACAGCGTTGTTGTCGTTCGTATCTTTTAATACCTTTGCTGTACTCCCCTAAGACGTGGAAGAAACAGCTTAGGCTAAACACATCGCTGCTGGTCTGCAGGACTCCAAAAACTCAAGCGATTGTTGGGAGGAAAGAAAAAATTCTCCCTGGCTCAAAGCAGTTGCAATTCCCAGCCCCACGGGAGATCCCTGGAAGAGTAAGCACTGTGTACTTAATTTAATTTTATTTTTTCCTTTTGGAGCAGGGCTGGACAGAGACCGATGCTTTGTGTTGCTGGCGGCTGTCAAGAAAAGGACCTTGAGGAGCAGAGAAACCAAGGCGAGTGCAGCATTTTGGGCTCCCACGTTTGGCACCCGCACACGGAGGACTATTATTTGGGGCTCCAAAGGGGGCTGGCGTTCACGAGCAATGGTTTCTCCAGGACGTGGTGGGGAGGGTTACCTTTAGCTGGGGCTGATGGGGATCTCCGGCACTGGAGCGAGAGCTTCAAATGTGCTCCGGGGAGGCGATGCGCTCTGGTTATTAATAATCGTCATGGGACTAGAAGCAGGGTCATTCGGTCAACTTGTTATAGACTAGCTGCCATTAACGGGAAGCTTAGTGCATAGGTTATAACCCGATGTACTGCACTTTGATTGACAAGAAAGGGGAAAAAAAAACCTCTTTC